ATAACCGTGTATTTCGTCGTTAAATAATAACGTAATTTGCCTTTAGGTAAGTATATCATGCGAGGGAACTAAATGACTTGTAACATCAATGGAATGCCACTTCTAAAATGATACTTCACGGAAAAGCCAATCTTCATTGAACAAGAAAATTAATTTACTAACTGGATTCCTAATTCAGTTCCTTTCCAAGGGCATAACGAAAAATCTGAAATGGTCCTTGCCAAAGTCGTATCTCCTTAAGGACACCCAGTAAAAAAGCTAGTCTTCAATGAAAAAGGAAATATTTTACGTTTTGTTTTGTTCTTTTTGTAAATAGTAACGTCCACTATTTTTTAGTGACATTGAGCTAATGGGAAGACTTTACCGGAAGGATTCCCAATTAAACCTTTGTAACAAGCGCAGAACAAAAAAAATCCGATATGTTCCCCTCTAAACACTTTCTCCTTGAGTCATGCTCAGCGTAAAAGCTTATCTTCAGTGAATAAGGAAATATGTGACTTGTTTCATGTTTTGTTCTTTTTGTGAAAAGTAAGTTCTGTTGTTTATCAGTGACTTTGAAATAATAGAGATGGATTTATTAGTAGGATTCCTGCTTCAGATTCACAAGGAAAAAGGCCGAAATTCTCCTTCCTTTTAAACGTTTCTCATGGGACATGACGGAAAGCGACTATTTTATTACTGCTGAAGTGATTTTCTTCAGTCTGTTCTACGTATCTGTTTTCATTTTATCATCAGTTGGTAACGTATGCGTCTTAGTAACTTGTTCTAAGACTTTAAAACAAAGAAATTCCCCTTTTATACGGTTATTGGCAAATCTAGCCTCCGCCAATCTCTGGTTTATAGTCTTATCCATAGTCAACAGCATCGCATTTTTGGGGCAATGGGTCGGTGGAAATATCACTTGCAAACTTCACAAATTCTTAATCGAGGCGAGTTACACAACTACAATCATGACACTTTCGACTATAAGCTACGAACGACTTAAGGTTACCACGAACCCAATCCTCGCTAGAGCGAAAAGTCGGCCACACAGAAATCGAGTCAAACCTGTCATAATTTGGAGTTGTAGCTAACCTACTCGTCTGTTCGCCTTTATTGTTTATTTACCGTGTAGAAACACAACAAAACAGCGCTGTGTGCCTTGCTACAAGGAGGAATAATTTATTCCCGCTAATCTTCTGAAGTGTACATGCAACAATCTTCTTTGTGGCTCCACTGCTGTATATGATTTACTCACAAAGCCGCATTTTTTGTATCTTACGGGTAGCGCCCATTACCGACACGGCCTTCATTTTGCACTCAAAGCAAAGGCAATGGAAGATTGCAAAGACACTCTTCGCTCTGAATCTAGCCGTTTGTACTCTGTTGGTCTCCTTTTATGGTAATACGAACACTAATGTACTTTAACTTAGCGTCGCCTGGCTTTGCTTGGAAAATATCGCAGCTTTTGATCTGTCTAAATACTGGATTAGAACCCTTTATTGTACGGTTATTTTGGCAGAAATCTGAAGTCTTTCTTGCGACCGAGACTTTCAATTAAGTAGTAACTTTCAAGTGGAGGGCAGGGAACTGTCACAAAAATATCAGAAATTTAACTTAATGCCTTAAGCTCATCATCATATTGAGAGGAACAATCTTTCAAACAAAGAGAACTGTCAAATGAGACTGACTGAAGAGTATATGTCCAATGGCAATAGCTTGGACAAACCAATCCTTGCAACCAACTGACCCATCTTAACTGAGCTTCGTGCTTTGTTATCAATAGCTCTTGTATAATGGAAACTTAATCTTTAACGATGGCCTCGGGAGTAAGGGCATTTATCTTGTTTGCCGACATTTGAACGAAGCTGAGCTGAGCTTCCAAAAGCTTTAAATGACTCTAAAAGATCCAATTGTCCTTTACATCTTTTCTTTTCAGTATAAATTTAGAAAGGTTCCGGTTAGTTTCGAACAGGGAAAAGTCATGATGAGTCAACTTCATGACACTGTCAGGAGACGTTTCACTCGGGTGAAGACGTTTATTCATGAAAAATATAACAAGCCCCGTGTAAAATTGGTGTGGAATTACTGAGTTTTTGAACTCTAGATACACGTATTTAAAACAATTCATCTCAGCGTCTGCAACAGTGGTCAAATTTTAAAACAAGTCGTTACTTCTATAAATATATCGAAAAATCTTCGAAATGTAACTGTTGACGCTGTTGTGTCTCTTCGGCTCCCCGAAGGTGAAAAATTCTAGACTATCATTTCTGAATAAGCCAATCAGCGAGCGCAAAAAGCACTATTCACATGAATGGTGCATACTAAAAGTCATTATTTCTAATTGTTGCCAATACATTGCAAAATTCTAATGATCAGATGCTCTTGAAGAAGTTGAACGAGAGACTTATGTTGAGTTTGAGGACATCATGAAGTGGCCGCTCTTGAAATGACACTCACTGAAAAGAATATTCTTATATCCATAGGGTACAATAGGGCATCATTGTATTTCCTTGTTAAACAATAGCGTAATTTGTCACTAGTTCAGTATAGTGTGCGAGGAAACTATATGACTTGTGACATCATAGGATGTAACTTTTAAAGTGATACTTAATGGAAAAGCCAATCTTTATTGAAGAAGGAATATGTAAATGAAGTGTTTTTTTGTTTTGTTGCATTTTGAGGAACTTTGCGTCACTTGTTTTTAGTAACTTAGTGAAACCAAAGGAAAACAGAAATAAGATTTAGAATAAATCGCGGTTTTTGAAGAATTGTGAGTTCTCGAAATTATCCTGGCTCAAAAAAAAAAGGAAATTTTTTTACTTTTGATTCTTTTTCTGTCGCGGTTGTCCCGTGTGCGTCCTTCTTTGCGTCCGATCTAAATTAAAACATAATTTTCGAAATTTTCAACCCCGAGTGGTCATATGGTAAAAACCTTATGACTGAGTTTAGTCGGGCGCACGGTAAAATATTTAATAGATAATTACTTCGGCATATGGCATCATGAGTAATATTGCAGCCAGCTGAGGCCTTAGGCCGAAGCTGGCTGCAATATTTCTCAAAATGCCATGTGCCGAAGTAAATATCTATTATAATTACTGATCGTCATCCAAACTAATTTTTTTCTGTCTGCGATTATATCACCGAATGTCGGCGCCCTTTATTATTATTGTGGGAAACAATGAATCAAACAATTCGTGACGCTCAATAATGTTTTTATTCAAGGTAACGGCTACGGGTATAACATGAGATGTACGTGTGAAAAATGCAACCAGAAACGAGTTATTGACTGTTTGTTTGTCAAGGTAGATGCAATTTGCATATTGCTCGACAAACCCCGGGGGGTACTCGATATATTCTTGGGTGGGGAGGTGCGACGCGGCCCCTCATACCCTAACCCTGTTCAAGACAAATTTCGCTGATTTTCCTACCCTGTTTAAGACAGAATTCCGCTTTTTGATACCCTGTTTAAGACATTTAATATGCCTGGTATCAATGCCAAATCAACGGAATTCAAGATTAATTAAAATAAGAGCTTGTAAAATTTTCTCTGTTTGTCTTCCAAGAAAAGATATCCTGTTTAAGACAAAAATGGGCTTTGGGCCGTTGGAAGTCCAATGCTTTTCAAAAATATATTCGGATTCCTTCCTTATCATCTTAATTTCATCTCATATTTTCAAATATACACAGGTGGCTTGCGGGGCAAGTTACTTGTACCATAACTCTGGGCTGATAATTCGACTTGCAAGGGCAGTGGTTATGATCAGCCTCAGAGTTGTGTATATATACTTAGGCTGAATCTCACTGTAGGACATACGGCTGACAAGCAAGGGCGGCAGTCCATCCAAAAGGTTGTGTACCATCAAGGGCTGACTTGCAAGGGCAGCAGTCTTTTTCAAGCATTTGCATGCACTTCCTTTTCTGTCATTTTAATGTTATCATTAGTTACTTCCTCTCTTAGTGGCTATAGTAGTGCTGCATTTCCTTCGGGTGGGGCAAGCATCATGATTTTAGGAAATCATCATGCTTTTTGGCGTGTTTTAGGCACTCACCCTTTCTGGGCCAGGAAAAAGTTTTCCAGTGTACGTTAAGTTGGAAATTATAAAAGTTTTTATTAAAGCGGCTATGGGCCTTTGTTCATAGCCAATTAACTCCAACCTTGAGTTATGATTGTCTTAAGGCCCAGTAAAGCAAGCCTCAGGATATGCAGCACTATTTTTAAGAAGTGGTGGTTTTAAAAAGGGGGTAAAGCATAAAAAAAAGGTTATCACGGAGTGAAATAAAAGATGATATAGTAACTTGCCTGCGGTCTAAGGAGGTGGAAAAACTTATGAAAATCGTGAAATAAAGTAAATCATTCCAGTGAAGTGAAAAACATTTTAGTACAGTCGGCCGAAGTAGTTTTTTCGTGATTATCTGATCCAGTCTGGTGTAGAGTTTCACACACTGGTGGGAGTAATAGTTTTTCATTTAAGGCAACTCATCAATACATGATTTTCAATGCATCAATAAAAGATGCACGGATGTCCTTGAATCACTTCAGCGAAACATTACTGTGTTTTCAAGAACATCACAATGCGTCTCCCCCTAAAGCGTGTCAAGGCGTCTTTGGCGAGATTTATACAGGATGTGTTTCTTAGAGAACAATAATGTCAGATATCATCAGTTTGGCGTGGTATAATTAAAATGCAAATTTCAAAAGTATTTTCAATTTGATTTTACGACCGCAGCGCCGGAAAATTCCCAAAAAGCGGCAGTTCTGAAGTAGTTATTTGCACATGTAAAGAGTTTTATCGGAAAATGATCGAGAGCTTTGAATTTTTACCAAGCTGATTGATCAGGATAATAAGGAAAGTCTCAACATCTTAAGTTGTTTTTGAAGACGATAAACACCGGAAACAGAACTCCGAGAAAAACAAGATTAAATTTACTTCTTCGATTCTCGAACATTAACGGAACAAAATTTCTTTAGTACACAGTGAGATTTGTCTTAAAACGTTACACAGAGCGGCCGACTAAAC